CCAAAGGGCCAGCTTTAGTTAATGAAAAAGACACAAAATTTGTCCATTTAATTGGGAAATAAAATTCACCGGGTCCCACCCACTGACGCTTTTTGAAGTCTTTACTAAAAAGACATTTCAGGAAATAAGTCACCCATAGTCCCACCTCCCCAGTATCATGACTTTAAAATTTAATTCAGTATTTTTTGTACTTGCCCACAAACCAACCGATGGACTTAGCAGTCTAGGGTCAGTGTAGCAGGAGCCCAAAACATCCTGTGGTCCATTGCAAGCCCAGTGCAGAACCCCAGCAACCAGTATATGGCAGTGAGAAAAGAACAACTAACACCCCTCCCCTTAAGCCAACAGCCAAATTATGAGAGGAAGCAGATGAAGAGTGAAAGCCAGCAGATCAAGTTCTGTGGATCTTTATAAGCAAAGAAGATGGGGTCAGGCCCCTCAATAGCTTAAAACTTGGTGCCTTCAGCTTTCAGAGTCTCGGTCACCAATTCTGGGGCCTTTGGGAAATCCTATTCAGCTGTTGTTATGCACATTCTCAATGTGAAGACCTTGCAAAATAGTGCATTCCAGGCTCAAATATTTCTCACCACCACCACGGTCCAATTAGAGATCTGTTTAGTTTTACATGATCTTTTCAAGATAGGAAATGGGGGTGAGAATGAGCACAACCCTATACCTTCACTTCGCATACACTGTCAAGATGAGCAAGATCTCTTTCTATTCTGTACACAAATGAAATCTTTAACAGGTTGCAACAGAAAAAAACACACTACATTCAGATGCTCATGTAAATACTACTTACTGCAGAATTTAACCTTGTGCCAGGGATCACACTTCTTGCTCTAGAAGTCCAACAAAGTCACTTCAGTACCCAGGAGAGCCTTCTACAGTCAGTCAAACAAGTTTTCTCCTCAAATACTGTCAACTGTATGCCCCATTTTTAGGCCATTGCTTTCCTTGTTCTGTCCCCCTTTTCAGGGACTTTCTGATTCCTTTTTCATTTTTAGAAGACTCTTTCCCATACCTGCAAGATCTTCCAGCTTCTTACTCATTCTGTCCACTACTGAGTGAGATCGACTTTTCTTGTAGCAATTCTCACAACCCACAGACTTCCTGTACTAAACTGAGGGCTGCCAGCCTCTTGCACAGCTGTCTTCTTTTCACTGTATTCTGTAGGAAGCTTTCCTTTTGATGTTCACACTCATTTTACTGGAATATATCCTAAAGTAACCTTCTCAGAAAGCATGCATGCAACATAAAACAAATCTTGTATTTGAGTGATAGTTTTGCTGGATCAAGAATTCTATGTTTATAATAACTTTTCCTCTGAAACCTCAAAACACTGCTCCATTTCTACTTCTCTACTTCTGTTGAAGAAGAGTCTCTTTCAGGTCTGACAAGCACTCTTTTGTAGGTGACCTATCTTTTCTCTCTGCAAGTTTTTAGGTTCGTTATCCTTAGTGTTTTGAAATTTCACAAATGGTACCTTTGAGATATGGTACCTGAGTCCCAGTCCCTGTTGGTCCCCTTCCTCAGGAGAAAGGTCTCAGGAAGCCCTGACATGGAGGTGAGGTCACTTGGGAAACAAACAGGCAGGGGCTTCTATTACACAATAGTGCCACATGCCCCCCACCCCCGGGTTTAGGGCTTGAAGAACCAGGAGACTTTCTGTTCAGAGGACTGGGGACAAGCTCCCAGATCAGCGGCCCTGGTTCTGCAGCAGGTGACAGTGCCAGGGGTTGCCCACTGCTCACTGCCCACAGGCTCCCTCCTGCAACACCCTCTGCTCCTCTACGACGTCTCATAGCAATGCCCAGCTCGGTGCGGCACGCCTCCCTCTCTCTCGGCCTGCAGCAGACTCAGGACGCTGTGCTTGCTTCCCTGCATCTCCTCCTCCTCCTCTCCTGAATGATCTTCTGCTCCATCCCTGCTTCCTCTTACCCTCTGAATACGGCTTTCCCAGGACTTCCTTCAGGGTCTTACCCTCCAAAACCTCTCCCCAGAGAGCTGACTCACCTACACTTGCGCGTTTTCAGCCCCCTCTCATCAGATGACTCTAGCCCTAGCTTTCCAAAACAACCTCAAGTCCAGAATGGCCCTTTTATTAGCACCGGAAACCAAGTGCTATCTATCTACCCTGAACCCAAGACCAGCACCCTCTCCATCACCTGAGAAAAAAAAAAAAAAAAAAAGCTTAAAAAAAATGTTTTTATTGGTTTTATTTTATTTTTTGAGAGAAGGAAAGACAGAAACATCACCTGCCTCCTGCAGGCCTCGGTACTGGGGATCAAGCCTGGGCATATGGCCTGACTGGTTATGGAACCAGTGACCTCTAGGCGCATGGGATGACACTCAACCAACTGAGCCACATTAGCCAGAGTGAGAAACAAAGCTTTTAATCACCCTTCCCCTGTCTCCTCCATCTCTCACGTTTCCTTTCACAGAATTCTACGTTCAGGCAACCCGACCACTTGCTGTTCTGACTGCACACTGGACACGGAGTGTGTGCACGTGTGCGTGCCAGTCTAGCATACAGCCCCACCATGGACACCCCACCTAGCCAGCAGAGCCCAATGCTCTTCAAGGCCCAAATCAAATGCCACCGGCCACAAAGCTTCTCTAGACCCCTGTGTTCCATTATCTCTAACCCTGGAGCACAGCCCATATCATATCCTCACTAAATTCTAACTACAATAAGGAAAAGGTCACAAACTTTAAGAACATATGACTATTAAACAATGGCATGACAGCTGGCCTAATCTGTTCAAAATCTCTAACCTCATCGATGACCACGTATCCTACAGATTCCATCTGTATTTGGGGGGAGGGAGGGTGGCGCACGCTAATATTTGATACATAGGCCTGTATTTAAAATATGAATGGCAATTAACAGCTGGAACACAATGCCATTAATAGAAAAACTGAGCCTTAACTTTTTTGTTAAGACATAATGAATTAGAAATAAATTAATGTGTGTATTTTCTCTGTAACTGGTTTCCCTGGCAGGAGAAGAGTGTTGGAACTCCTTTATTAAAACACAATGGAACTCTTAAACCCATTTGACACGTGGGGAAACTGAGGCTCCAAATGGCAAGAGGTCACCCACCTTGTTTTTGGCAGGGCTGGAGGAGACACCAGGACACTTCAGAGTCTCCAGCTCTGTCCTACTCCGCTCTGCTCTCAAGAGAAAGAAAAAAAGGAGGCCCCACTCTGTTCTTACATGGTGTAGGATCACAGAGATTTCTTTCTTTTCTGACCTGGCCCTCACCTCAATTTCCCGAGCCGTTCCAGGCTCCATTCAACCTCAGAGAGGGAAAAAGAGAAGATCCCCTGGCTCCAGAGTTTATTAGTTAATTTTAAGTTTGCATCTCTGCCCTGGCCAGTGTGGCTCAATAGATAGAGTGTCGCCTGACACCAAAGAGTCTTGGGTTCGATTCCGGGTCATGGACACATAACTGGGTTGCAGGTTTGATCCCTAGCCCGAGTCGGGGTGCGAGCAAGAGGCAACCAATGAATATGTCTCTCTCACCTTGATGTTTCTCTCTCGCTCTCCCCTCCCTCCCTTCCACTCTCTCTAAAAACCAATGGAATAAATATCAAGCGAGAATTAACAATAAAAAGTTTGCATCTCTGTGGGTTTTCTCATGCCCTTGTAAAAACTGCCAAACAGTACTGTAAAATAAACAGTGTAAAAAGGGGCCGAGGCTTCTGTAGGAGTCCAGCCCGTTTCAGGCAAAACAAACATCCAATGGGTTCAGACCTTCCTGACTGCTCTCACCTTGGACAGTCCCAGCCATGGATACCTGATCCCTTCCCGTCACACCAGTATAAATTAACAAAACGCCAGGATCTTCCCTGGTAGCCCACTGAAACGTGAAAAGATGAAATCCTCCCAGTGGTCAGCTGTACAAATGTGGTACAGACCCTTGCAGCTTAGCCCAGGATAACAGACTCAATTTGAAACTTTTACAAGCAGGCCAGGGGATAGTATAAAGATATCCATTTCCAAACAAATTATGTGCAATTTATTCATTCATAAGCAACGTCATTTATGGAATTAAAGAGTATTTACTTCATCTTATTGTCTTCTAGGATCTACAATGCTGTCACTCACATTAACAGCATACTTATTATTAAACGAACTGCTTTTGTTTTCAAACATTTCCCTTGAACAAGAATACAAACCACCATTGTAACTTAGGCACAAAAAAACTATAGCTGGCAACACTCAAGTGTGATTAAAAGTAAGTTCTTGTCACTTACCTAGCAAATTCTGCCAGTTGTTTGGGATCTGAGAGGTCAATGCCAGGTATCCCTCCAGGAGGAAGTTTCTTTCCTGTCATATACTCTGAATAATCAGGAGGTGAGTTCTCTCCAATGATCTGTTCTTCAACCACCGTTTCATGGTCAATATCTTTTTTTTCATCTGAAACACATCAAAAGATGATCTTAGCTGAGTAAAAATGTCTATGTGGGCAAATACATTTTAAAAACTACATAAAATGTTTTCATAGCCATACCTCAATTCTTAAGCACCCAGTCTTTCTCCTCTGTACCACAGGCCGACGCTCTAACCGCTGAGCCAAACCGGCCAGGGCACCCAGTCTTTCTCCTTAATCTTGTGAAATCCTGTTTCTAGCTTGAGAGTCACCAAAATCTTCTGTGTCAAACCCAGCGGATCTTTCTGAGTGCTCCCTCCCAGGTTACAGGGCAGTTCCTTGTGACTGCCCCAGCATCCACTTCCCTACCAGATTTACCTTCAGCTCTCGCTTCTCCTCCTACCACCTCTCTGAGCTCTTCTGATCTACCACACACACTTCCGGTTAACCACCACCCCGCAACAGACTCAAGTCTCACTTTGTAGCCTTCGCCTTAGGTAAACTCCTGCCTACCTCTCCATCCTCCGTATTCTTCACTCTTTTCTCCTCACTCTGCTCCAGCTACACTGGCCTTTAGTTCCTCAAAGGCACCACGCTCATCAACCTAACCTCATGTTTTACTCACACAGCTCGAACTATGACTTGTAATTATAGCGGTGTCACACTTATCGGTCTCTTCCACCAGATGTCAGCTCCGAGGACAGGGGTGCTGGTCAGTCCTAACCCCCATGTATCCAAAGAGCCTTGTTCAAAGTCTGCGCATGGTTGGCCCTCAACAAACACGTGTTTGAAGAATGTAGGACATCTCTAACTCGTATCTCTTACCATCATCTCAAATACAAAGAGAAAAGGAATATTGATCCCCATAATTAATCTCCGGTATCACAGACAGCAAATCCTACTGATCATTTTTAAAAGGTCTTCTCTCCCTTTGTCCCACCACTATCCGCTTAGTTCTTATTATCTCGAGCCTAAAATGACTACTGTAAATTCTTAATGGAGCTTCATAATCATGTTCTGCTCTAGTAATGCTACAAAGAATAAACTGATATAGAAAATATAGCTGATACACTTTCACCTATGGGGCCTTAACAAGGTATAAACTACTCCAACCTGGCTCTCTGGGTCCTGTGCTATCTGGTTCCATTTTCTTCTTACTTTCAATTTTTATTAATTTTTTTTGTTACAAATGTTTCTCTGTCTGGTTCCATTTTAACACATCTAGTCTCACTCTCCATTTCTCCTGTACATATGCCCTCACACTCCAACAGCCATTTTCCCCACGGGTTAATTCACAAGTGCCTGGCAAGAGATACTGCATAAGCACGAGGCGAGGCACCCCTTTGGCTCTCTGTAAGCCCAGCCTACCCGCGAGCCTCGCTCCAGTTCTCTATTGGCTTGTTGATTCTATCAGTCTAGCCTCAGATTCTTACCTCTTCTTTCAACTCCTATATAATTTATTGCTAATAACACTGCCAAACTCTAAATCACGCTGTTGTCAGCCTGGCCTCTTACACTGGAGGGAAGGGTCCAGAGGTCAAAACCAGCCTTCTACAATTCTGGTGCCTCACACAGAAAACAAATGTTCCTAAAATTCAATGCTAACTAGAACGTTCTGTTTCTCCACCAAACTGTTTTACAAAGAGCAGAAACACTAGAATTTTCAGAAGTGAAAGCTGGCTTGTTCAATTCTTACCTTCATTACCTTCCACCAGTGTTCAAACACATGACCAAAACCAAACCACACCAAATCCTGCAATTAATGTCACGACCCAAAACTGCACATAGCTGATTAGCACCCTACTCTCCAACACCAGAGAATGAAGGCGAGATGCTGGCAGTGTGTAGGTTCCTTCGATTCCACTTCAGTCCCCTCAGCAATGAAAAGCACAGAACACAACAATTTAACACTTAACTGCCCCTCTTCCCCCACCATTCTCCATGCTAGGACCTCTCCTAGGTCATCATAAGGAGTTGTAGAGCAGAACAGCAGCTGGTGTTTCACTGAATGTTTGCTGTGGGCACTATGTTCACCCCATGAAGTGGAAAAACCAGCAATGTGTTCTACAGAGGAGAAAGCTGAGGCACAGTAAAGTTCAGTAGCTTGCTCAGGGTTGACCAGTCGGTGGCAAAGGTGAAGTTGTGGAATCTAACTCTGAGACCCGTGTACTTAACTGTTAAGCTCAGCGGCCTCTTGTTTGGAACGAGAAAGAACTAGATAGAATTGTGCACCTGAAGCTTGTATAATTTTGTTAACCAGTGCCACCCCAATAAATTTAATACAAAGGGGAAAAAACCCTACTTGGCACAATGTCTAGCAAAAACAAATACAAAAACATGCTAGATAGTATCTCTCAGGTTACCCATTCACGGGTGAGATCCACCAAGGATGAAGGGGCCTAAGAAGACAATGGCTAGATGTATTAATAAGAACGTTCAAGCCCTGGCCGGTTTGGCTCAGTAGTTAGAGTGTCGGCCCACAGACCAGAAAGACCCAGGTTTGGTTCCTGCTGGAGGCATGTACCTCGGTTGCAGCTTGTCCCCAGCCTGGTTGGGGTCGTGTGGGTGGCAGCCACTCAATGTGTTTCTCTCATGTCGATGATGTTTCTCGCTCTCTCTTCCTCCCTCTTTCCCTCCCGCTCTATCTGAAGACAAATGCAAAAAATGTCCTCGGGGAGGATTTAAAAAAAAAAAAAAACTTTCAGGAAACGTGGCTGTTGATCATAAGTGACACAGCTGGAGCTCCACACTGTGCCCAGAGTCTTTCATTCCCCTTCTTTTCTCAGAGCGGTGGTAATTCCTTCACCTCCAACCTCCCCAACTTAGCACAACTGCACAGAGACACCATTGGTGGGCAGGGAAACTATTTCTTCCCTGGTGTTTTATATTTCTGATACAAGAATGATACCAAATCTGAGAAACACTGATGCTCTCTGAGCAAGCTACTGATGAGAGTACATCTCAAGTATGCTGACGCAGAAAAAAGGCTGACTTCTTTCTGGCATAAAGAAACCACAGGCTAAATCAGTCACTGTATTAGTTCAACACATGACTGAGGGCCTCCTATGTGCCTGGCACTCACTGTTCGAGGTACCAGGAACAACAGCCAGAAACAAAACAAAGTCCCTGCCCTCAGTTCTCCAGACGAAGGTGCCGACTGATTCAGTTCTTGGTGAAGGTCCTCTTCCTGGTTTGTAGACCAATCCTTCTTGCTGTGTCCTCATATACACAAAATTCCTGTCTCTTAGAAGAGCACTAATCCCATTCACCAGGGCTTTATCCTCACAACTTAATTACTTCCCAAGGCCCCACACCTCCTAAGACCATCACACTGGGGATTATGGCTTCAGTATGTGACTTTTGGAGTGACAAACATGACTTTTGGAGTGACAAACAGAAGTCAAATGAGGAAATACTTAGGCTCAGTTCTTAGTTCCAATATTCAAGACAAAGCAGAGGAGTTCGGGGGTGGACACACAGTCACTAAAATGATTAAGAATTAGAATATAGCCCTGGCCTGCTGGCTCAGTTGGTTAGAGCATTGTCCTGATACGCTAAGGTTTCGGGTTCAGTCTCCAGCCAGGGCACACACAAGAATCAACCAACGACTGCATAGTGGGCGGAACATCTCTCTCTCTCTCTCTCTCTCTCTCTCTCAAATAAACCAATCAATCAAGAATGAAATATGCCTAAAGTAGAGGCTGGAAAGATTTTACACTATCTAAGTACATCTAAACTCAGCCTGACTCACACACCCCATTTTCATTGTTTGCTTTTTTTTGGTAAAAGATATTAACATATTTAACTCTCTGTAAACGTGAAATTCAGTGGCATTACATATATTTACAATGTTGTATAACTATCACCACTATCTTTATCCATAACTTTATCACCCCCAATAGAAACTTGGCACCCATTAAAAATAACCCCTTCTTCTCCAGACTCAGGTCTTACTGTTTCTATGAATTTGCCTACTCTAGGTATTTTATAAGTGGAATCACACAGTACTTATCCTTCTGTGCCTGGCTTATTTCACCAAGCATGTTTTCAAGATCTATCCATGTTGTAGCACATATCAAAAGTTCGTTCTTTTTCATGCCTGCATAATATACCTGTATGAGTATATACCACATTTTGTTTATTCATTCATCTATTGATGAACACTTAGGTTATTTCCATCTTTTATCTACTGTGAATAATGTTGCTATGAATGTCGGTATATAAATGCACCACCTAGTTGTTGTTTTTTTTAATCCTCACCCAAGGACATTTTTCCATTTTTTGTTCAGATAGAGTGGGAGGGAGGGAGAGAGAAACATCGACGTGAAAGGGACACATCGAGTGGCTACCACCCACACAACCCAACCAGGACCGTGGACAAACTGAAACCGAGGTACGTGCCCTTGGAGGAAACCGAACCCAGGTCTCTCTGGACCGCAGGCCGACGCTCTAACTGCTGAGCCAAACCAGCCAGGGCTCAAGTTTTATTTAGGAAGAGGAGTTAATAAATCTGAGTTTCTTTCTTTCTTTTTTTTTAAAATCCTCACCTGAGGGCATTTCTGCATTCATCTTCAGATAGAGCTGGAGGAAGAGAGGGAGAAACATCGACGTGAGAGAGACACATCGACTGATTGCCACCCACACAACCCCAACTGGGGCCGGGGACAAACTACAACCGAGTCACGTGCCCTCAGCGGGGACAGAACCCAGGTCTCTCTGGTCTGCGGACTGACACTCCAACCGCTGAGCCAAACCGGCCAGGGCAATAAGGCTGAGTTTCTTGTTTCCATTTCTTGGAGGATGGTGGTATCATTGGTTGATATGGAGGACAGTGGGGGAAGAGAGACTATGCAGGAGCAGGTCTGGAGTTCAACTAAGATATCTGTTGGATATCTAGTGGACAAACCTCAAGGAGGTACTTAGAGATGCAAGTGTGGGAGATAAAAAGAAATCTTGGTTAGAGAAACATATGAGAATCAATGGCATAAAGACTGTATTTAAAGCCACCAAAATATAGAATATTATTTACTGAAAAATATACAAAGAGAAGAGGACTCAGAACCAAAACCCAGGAAAGTCCAATGTTGAGAGAATGAAGAAGACTTTGCAAAGGAGACTGAAGAGTTATGTCCAAGTGTAGGGAAAAAACTAGCTTTGTCTACTGAGACTTTTATTCAGTGACATACCAAGTGCAAGTGGCCTGCAGTGAAGGCAGTACAGACAGACAGTAAGTGCATGGTCTATACATAACTTTACCACCATAATAAAACTAATTAGAAGTCAGCCTGCTCTTTATTATCACTATACACCTACATTTTTTTTTTTAATCCTCACCCGAGGACACTTTTGCATTTATCTTCAGGTAGAGCGTGAGGGAGAGAGGGAGGAAGAGAGAGAGAAACATCAATGTGAAAGAGACACACTGACTGGTTGCCACCCACACAACCCCAACCGGGGCCAGGGACAAACTGCAACCAAGGTACATGCCCTTAGCAGGAACCGAACCCAGGTCTTTCTGTTCCACGGGCCGACGCTCTAACTGCTGAACCAAACTGGCCAGGGCTACACCTACATTTCTAAACAATGTTTGCAATACGCTCTTCTTTCCTAAAAAACTTTTTTGTTGGTTTAAGTACTAAATAATTGCTGTGATTACTGTACACTTTCATGTTTTATACTCATTAGTTAATAAACAGTGTATTAATTACCTAGAAGTTAACTTGAAGAATTACTTGAAAATGGATGCACAGAAACTCTAAAGTGGGTCATTAAATATTCAACAACAAAATCCAAGGAAATAAAATATTTACATAGAAAAAAACAACCACAGCCCTGGCAGGTTTAGCTGAATGGTTGGGAGTGTCAGCCATGAATCAAAGTGCCTTGGGTTAGATTCCCAATCAAGGGCATATGCCTGGGTTACAGGTTCGATCCCTGACCCTGGTTGGGGTTGTGCAGGAAGCAACCAATCAATGTGACACATGGGGGGATCAAACACAATGTTTGTCTCATTTTCACCAAGAGCTCGAAATATATTAAAGCAATAGATCAAATAATGTCAGTGTTTGTTATTATTTGGCCATTTTATCTGATTTTTGCAAAAGAAAATCTTCAGAAGTCTTTGCCAAGTAAAAATTTGATGCTCTAAAACAGAAACTAGTATTATTAAATTCACAGACCACGTGTACATGTTTCCCGTTTTGTTAAAAAAAAAAACATAGTAAAAAGTTACTAATTCATTTTTTTTACAATTCTATTTTAAAATGTTTTGTTGTTATAATATGCATTCAAATAAAGAAAACTTTCCCTGTCCGCCCCAGCCTTCTATTCTGTTCATTTCTGTGGAAACAGATTTGCTGTACCAGGGGAAAGAGGTGCTAACGGTTCCACTTTCAATGTCAAGTGTTATTATGCTACTGAATTGTACTGCCTGGCAATGCAGGTCTAGATAAAGCATATAAATGAAGTGAAGGATCTAAACCTGCTTTAAAGCCCAGCCAGTGTGGCTCAGTGGACTGAGTGTCCGCTCATGGACTGAGAGGTCCCGGTTCCATTCCTGGTCAGGTTGTGGGCTCGATCCCCAGTGGGGGACGTTCAGGAGGCAGCCGATCAATTGTTTCTCTCTCTCTCTAAAAATGCATAAATAAATAGATAAATAAATGTCAATCACTGTTGCCAGGACTGACTTAAAAAAGGTACACGAGTCCGGCCCGTGTGGCTCAGTGGTTGAGCGTCGACCCATGCACCAAGAGGTCACCGGTTCGATTCCCGGTCAGGACACATGCCCAGTTTGTGGGCCTGATCCCCAATGGGTGCATGCAGGAGGCGGCCAATCAATGTTCTCTCTCACTGATATTTCCATCTCTCTCTCCCTCTCACTTCCTCTCTCTCTAAAATCAATAAAGAAGAAAAAAAAAAAGGGTACATGATAAATACAATTTTCCCGTCTTGCCTGCCTCTCATCCTCCCATCATCTAAGTCCAGTCTGCTCTTCAAAGCTCAGATCAAGATCTCTTTCCTTCCCTGTGGCTGGTGTGGCTCAGTTGGTTGAGTGTCATCCCATGCACTGAAGCGTTGCCAGTTTGATTCCAGTCAGGGCACATGCCCGAGTTCTGGGGTCAATCCCTGGTGGGGGGCACGCAGGAGGCAGCCAAGAGATATTAGGCTTTCTCATCGATATTCCTTTCTCCCCCTTTCTCTATCTCCAACAATCATTAAAAATATGTATTTTTTTAAAAAATCTCTCTTTCAAGAGGCCTTTCATTCCTATTCCTGAACCTTGCTTAATTTCCTTGGTTAATAAATAAAAAGAATGGCACTTACTTTATAAGGCTAAGACGAGATAATACGTTAATGCCAACCATTGTATCTGGAATAGAGGAGTTTGCAAAAACTCCTTTAGTCCACTTTCCCCTCCCTCCTGGGTTTAAGAACAGTGGAGGTTATAGCTTAAAGGTTTTTGAAGAATGTCAAACTTTTTAAAAACTAGTAACCAAGTAAAGAACATAGAAAGTAATGAACCATCTTCAGTTAGGTTAAATTTTAAGTCTTTTGGCCACTCTAAGCACGTGAAATGTGATACTAGACTGGTTGGAATCTGTGCATTACTACCAGCCAGTGGTCCTCTTCAAATATAAAACAGTTTATTTTTAAAGTTCAGTCCTAAGAAAAGCTTGATTTTCCTGATCAAATTTTCCCATCTTAGAATCAGCTAATGGTAGTATGGTTTCCTCTTTTATCTCGTTTGCCAGGAAGCTCATTAGGGTTGACCCTCATGCTTTCTTTTCTTCTGTGATCCTGATTTTCTACTTTTACCAATTCTTACATTTACCTACCTACTTACTTGACTAGATTTTATTTCTCCACACCTTCCATTTTGTGCCATTAACTTTGGTCTGACCTTTCTACCTGACTTTTAGCAAAAATGACATTCCTTACTCACTACTGCTGTCACCCAAACCTTCACTGAAACAGGGGAGAGCTACATATTTGAGACTCATTGCTAAGCAACAGACATAAGTGAGCATAGGTTGTTTGTACTTTCCCCCACTAATGGAGACCTTAAGTAGGAATACTATCATTTACTGAGTACCTGTTCTATGCCAGCAACTATCACATTCCTTAAGTCAAACAAAAACCTTTAAGATATTAACCCCATGTTTTTTAGTTCAAGAAATCAAGCCTCAGAAACGCCAAGTAATGTGTTTAAAGAAGTACAGCCCAGCTGGTGTGGCTCAGTGGATTGAGCCTCGCCTCACGGACTCAGGAAGTCCTTCATGGACTCAAGAGGTTCTGGTTCTATTTCTGGTCACCCCACGGTGCCCTGGTTGTGAGCTTGATCCCCAGTAGGGGGCGTGCAGGAGGCAGCCAATCAAAGTTTCTCCCTCACATCAATGTTTCTATCTCTATCCTTTCCTCTCTCTTAAAACAAAATTCAATAAAAACCCATTTAAAAATAACTTAATAAATAAAGTGCACTTAGTCACAGATCTAGGATTTGAATCTAAGATTGATTCTGAAGTCCATGACTTTTCTAACAGAACATGATTCTCCTCCCTCTCCTCACCCTCAACGCTTCTCTCCCACCCCTACAGTAATAGATGAGAATGAATGGTGACCTGCAGGCCAGGACTCTGCCTTATACACAGCTTCCGTGCACTCAGCTAATTGCTGAGACTCTTACATGTGCCTAGTGTCATTCTTTTTTTCTTTTTGGGGGGGGGGGTTGAGGGAGAAAAAGATAGAAACATCCATGAGAGAGAACATCAACTGGCCGCCTCCTGCATGCCCCTCACTGGGGATTTGGCCCACAACCTGGACATGTGCCCTGACCAGGAATCGAACTAGTGACCTCCTGGTGCTCAACCACTGAGCCACACCAGCCGGGCATGCTTAAGCGTCATTCTAAGGCTGCAGGGTTATAGCCCAGGGCTTACACTCTAGAGAAAGTAGACAGATAAGCAGCAAGTTAAAATAAAAGGGGCAAGACATGTTCAGACAGTGCTACAAAGAAAATAAAAACAGCTCTGAGCAAGTGTCAGAGGGGACTGTGTGCATGCTAATTTGAACGAACAGAGAAGGCCACTTAGAGGTGTGACCTGAAAATCAAGGTGGCACTAAGAATGCAAGCACCAGGGTCAGCACTGGAAAAGCAGAGGTTAAGAAGCTAGTGCTAAGAAACAAGTTTAAGGAACTGAAAGAAGGCAGAAAGGTTGAAACCTAATGGGAGCAGAGGGAAGAGTGGGAAGGAAAGCAGGGATCAAACCATGTGTGGCCTTGCAGGTTATGACAAAACACATAGAACATAAAAGTTTACCATTTTAACCTTTTTTTTAAAGAAAGGGAGGGGGGGAGGAGGAGAGAGAGAGAGAGAGAGAGAGTGAGAAACATCCATGCAAGGGAGACACATTGTTCAGCCGCCTCCTGCACGCCCCACACTGGGGATTGAGCCCACAACCCGGGCATGGGCCCTGACAGGGAAATCTAACTGGGACCTCAATCCAAGAGATGACGCTCAATTCACTGAGCCACACCAGCCAGGGCCATTTTAACCATTTTTAAGTCTACAGCTCAGTGACATTAA